TGGCTGCTCTCGCCGGAATCTTGGGCGGCGGCCCAACGGCGGCACGAGGGGGGGGAGGTGGTTGGTGGGGAAAGCGCGGGTTGAAATGTCCCCCCACCAACCGCTTCCCGCTTATATGCAGGGCACCATAGCGGCAAGGGGAAAACCCGCGAATACGCGGGTTGGGGCCAAGATTTTGCCGCGCCCCTCAAATATTTTTTCAGGCCGGGGCGGGATGCGGGGTCTGATCGGGCAGTTTTTTCCACCCCGGCCCGCATTTTGGCGGTTATTTTGCAGGTCGGGGCGGGATGCAGGGTCTGCTAGAGTTGCTCTTAGAAGTTAGAGACGGTCGGTCACAACTCACAACAGCAATCCATAGAAGAGTTTATGTAATGTAATGAGATGAAATCCCGATCCTACACAAGGCCCTGAAATCTGTCGCGTTGCTAGTGCCATGGATGGTTTGGAAGCACAGGAACAGCTGCGTCTTCGACAATGCAACACCATCCTTCAACACGCTATTAGATAGAATTAAGGACGAGGCCCGCTCTTGGGCTGCAGCCGGGGCACCTGGCCTCCGCCTTGTGCTGCCACAAACCTGGGACGTGCATTAAGCCGGATGTAACCGACGATTGTAACTGAACTTCTCCCATTTCAATGAAAAGAAGCGCAAAGGTCTTTTGCGTTTTCTCAAAATAAGAGTGAAAAAGAAGCAGGGTGCATCGTATGTGATTGTTGTTGTGGAAGGTAGCTAGGGGAGTGCTAGGGGTGACGCACGGTAAGAAGCAAGAACCCAAAGACACGTGGTGGTGGTGGAATGAAGATGTCCAAAAGGCTATCAAAGAGGAGTGCTACAAGAGTTGGCACCATGATAGAAGCACCAGCAATGTGGAGAAATACAAAGAGGCAAAGAAGAAAGCAAAGCAAGCTATGAGTGAAGCAAGGGGGTTAGCCTATGATGAGCTCTACCGGCGACTAGACACAAAGGAGAAAAGGACGTTTACAAGCTAGCGAAAATCATGGAGGACAAGGGACCTCAACCAAGTCCAATGCATCAAGGATGAGGCAAATCGACTCCTAGTGAAAGATGGGGAGATCAAGAACAGGTGGAGAAAATACTTTGACGGGTTGTTCTATGTGGGGAATGAGAACACTATGCCTGAGCTAGATGACTCCTTTGATGAGAACATGATGCGGAGCATCCCAAGGTCATCCCTATGGACCTACCTACATCTCCTACGACACCACTTGGACCAATGACAAGAGCCCGAGTAAAGGCTATCGAAGATAAGTGAACTCACTCCTCCCCGGACTTCCACTTCCTACATATGAGACATGGCTACTACCTCATGCGGAGACCCTATGTGTGATCAGGTACCCGGAGGAAGGCCACGGAGCAGCTACATCCAACGGACAAGACGGCGAGGACACCAAGTGCCAAGGACAAGAAGAGGAGCTGCCACTAAAGCTACAGCCACCGGACGACCGGTCGGGACCGGACGTCCTGCACCTGAAACCCCAACCTGCCCAGGCCCCAGCCAACGCAAGCTACAGCGAGCGGACGGCTGAACGACCGGCGTCACCACACCCGAGCCGAAACAGCGGATGTCCGACGCCACCGGACGACCGGCCATCTCCGAAAATCCGGTGCCACCTCAACCGAGCCAAAACGAGCGGAAGTCCGGCGACTACCGAATGTCCGGACGCCCACGAGCCACCGGACAATCGTAACCCACCGGACATTCGATACCTGTCTGCGCACAGTTTCGGGCCCGAGGCCCATGTACCCCTTCACTTCACCCCCATTTGCACTAAGACTATAAATAGACCTCCTCCTCCTCCTAGTTAGGGTTAGCGTTGTGTTAGCTCATATGTGAGATAGAGCTTCGCTCATCCATCCGGATCTACTCCATCGTGAGGGACCGTCACCTCTTCGGAGAAGATCCACTTGGATTCAAGACCCCTAACGGGAAGACCTCAAGACCTCCTCGCGGAGAAGAACCAGTTACCTATGTATCGTCCTTTATTGGATTCGGATCGTGTATCTCTTTGTGTTTCGAGGATCTAGCATATGCGTGACCTAATCTCGTTGGTTTGAGTGTTTCCCTTGTGTTTCCTTTCGTGTTTCCCCCTTGTGTTCTTCGTGTTCCTCGTTGGGATCCGCTCCCTTCGTGAAAGATCGGTCGTATAGGGTTCCACCCTACATCAGAACAATAATAGACGGTTCGTGTTGAGGATTCAAGAGCTCAAGGCTAATGAGGCCCTAACAAGATGGAAGGAGGAAAGGCCTTGGGACCAGAAGGTATTTCTATTGAGATGTTGAGGTTCCTTGTGAAAATGGCAGTAGTATGGCTAACTATGCTATTCGACCATATTTTTCAAACAAGATGCCCAAAGAGTGGAGGAAGAGTACACAAGTACTACCTTCATGAATAAAAGAGATATTCAAAGTTGTACTAATTACCAAGGAATTAAGCTTATGAGTCATACTATGAAGCTTTGGGAGAGTGATTGAGCATCATTTAAGAGAGACGGATGTCATGAAAAAACAATTTGGTTTTATGCCCAGAAGATCGACTATAGAAGCGAGTTTTTTGCCACATTAGCTCATGGAAAGTGATAGGGAGCAGAAGAAGGATCTTCATACCATTTTCATCGACTTGGAGAAGGCATATGACAAGATACCAAGGACGGTCATGTGGGCACTAGAGAAACATAAAGTCCCAACAAAGTACATTACCCTCATGAAGGATATGTATGATAATGTTGTGACAAGTAATCGGACAGGTGATAGTGAGGCCGATGCCTTCCCAAATACTAAAGGACTACATCAAGGATTACACTTGGGCCCATACATTTTTGCCTTAGTGATGGACGAGGTCAGAGAGGATATACAAGGAGATATGCCCTAGTGTATGGTTCTTACCGATGAAGTGGTAATAGTTGGCGAGACTAGGTTGGGTGTCAATATGAAATTAGAATTGTGGAGACAAGACTTGCAGAGTCCAAGGGCTTAGTAGAACCAAACCGAGTATATGAGGTGTGACTTTAATGGTGTTAGGTGCGAGGAGGGAGATATTAGTTTAGAGGGGCATATAGTGACTAAGAGGGGGGCCTTCCGATACTTGAGATCACTTCTACAAAGTAAAGGTGGTATCGATGAGGATGTTACTCATAGAATCAAAGCAGGGTGGATGAAGTCGCGGGAAGCATCTGGCATCCTCTATGACAAGAAGGTCCCACAAAAGCCCAAAGGTAAGTTCTATAGGACGCCAATCAAACTTGCGATGATATATGGAGTCGAGTTTTGGCCTACTAAGTGACAACACATCCAACAAATGAGTGTCACTAGGATACACATGCTAATGTGGATGTCGGCCATACACCGATTGAAGAGAAGCTTGTCCACCGACTAGGCCTGGGCATTCGGTCTAGCTAAGCCGATCGGTTAGGTTCCTCGGGCTATTGAGAAATACGGTTATCAAATATTCATGACCGATCAATCATTTGAGAAACTGCTAACCAAGGCTTCGGTCAACCAAAAAGTCAATTCGGTCCTCGGTTTAACTCGAACGGAACCGGTTCTCTGAAAATCTGAGCTATGGAAGAAAGATAGGAAGGGAAAAATGTATCGTACAGGCAAGAACACCTTGTATGTCCTAATGAACTACTTATGGGGACGTGAATCCATTAAAAAGCAATCCCAACGGGATGGTGACGGAGATAGGTAAACAAAAAAAAATCCAGTCTCCCAAGGAGACACAGGAGACACGAAGGAAGGAAAGAGATAAGGCGTTGGGCGCCGATTTCCAGGCGGCCGAGGCGCCTCCACTACCGGCGTTGGCTGCAGCGCTCACTGCTGGCCAAGGATGAGACGAAGGAAGGAAAGAGAAAAGGCGTTGGGCGCCGGTTGCCGGGCGGCCGAGGCGCCTCCACTACTTGCACTGGCTGCAGCGTTCACTATCGGCCAAGGATGAGACCAGGAGTCTAGGAGATAAACACCTGTGGTGGCTATGTTAGAAATGGAGAATC